AGATTGTCCCCAATTCGAGGGCTGCTGTTGTTCCAGCGGAGTGAGGCACCGCGCAGATGTGAGCAAGACCTCGCCGTGCCTGGGGGGCTGCGATCTGCGACACTGTCGCCACTTTCGCGGGCTGCTGGTGGGTCCAGCGGAGTGAGGCACCGCGCGGATCTGAGCAAGACCTCGCCGTGCCTGGGGGGCTGCGATCTGCGACACTGTCGCCACTTTCGAGGGCTGCTGGTGGGCCCAGCGGAACCGCGCGGATCTGAGCAAGACTTCGCCGTGCTTGGGGGGGGCTGCGATCTGCGAAACTGTCGCCATTTTCGAGGGCTGCTGGTGGGTCCAGCGGAGCTGCGCGGATCTGAGCAAGACCTCGCCGTGCCTGGGGGGCTGCGATCTGCGAAATTGTCGCCACTTTCGAGGGCTGCTGGTGGGTCCAGCGGAGTGAGGCACCGCGCAGATGTGAGCGTGACCTCGCCGTGCTTGGGGGGCTGCGATCTGCGGAACTGTCGCACCTTTCGAGGGCTGCTGGCGGGTCCAGCGGAGTGAGGCACTGCGACTGCGCAGATCTGAGCGGGACCTCGCCGTCCCTGGGGGTGCTGCGATCTGCGGAACTGTCGCCACTTTCGAGGGCTGCTGGCGGGTCCAGCGGAGTGAGGCACCGCGCAGATTTGTGCGGGACCTTGCCGTCCCTGGGGGTGCTGCGATCTGCGGAACTGTCGCCACTTTCGAGGGCTGCTGGCGGGTCCAGCGGAGTGAGGCACCGCGCAGATTTGTGCGGGACCTCGCCGTGCCTGGGGGGGCTGCGATCAGCGAGATTGTCCCCCATTTCGAGGGCTGCTGGTGGGTCCAGCGGAGTGAGGCACCGCGCAGATGTGAGCAAGACCTCGCCGTGCCTGGGGGGCTGCGATCTGCGGAACTGTCGCCACTTTCGAGGGCTGCTGGCGGGTCCAGCGGAGTGAGGCACTGCGCAGATCTGAGCAAGACCTCGCCGTGCCTGGGGGGCTGCGAGCCTCACGAATGCCGCTCGCAGAAGTATATGCGCCCATGTCACGTCATCACCTCCGTATAACGTCTCCCAAGCTACTCATGCCCCGCATTGCGCAGGGGTTGGGTACGTCGCCAGGGTAATTTTTTTTTCGGCCTCAGGGGGTCCTCGCCAGGCCCTGGGACCGTAGCGACTCGGGGTGCAGAAGAACCCGTCCCAGGACAGGGGGGTGCTGAAGGTCCTCCTCCTCTTATCTCCTCCTTTGGAGGCCTAGAGGTTGGCACCAACACCATCATCGGCGGTTGCCTCCGCCGAGGGAACATGAGCCCGATCTCTGTGATGGTGGTAATGTTCGGGCTTCTGAGGTGGCCGAGAGATTACAACCAACACCAAAATCCAGGATCCTCTTCCACAGCGGAGGCAACCATTTGCCTTGGTGTTGTTGCCATTGTCCGGTCCCTCCGCGACAAGATCAGCACGCACGCCTGGGCCTCCTCCCGCCGCGACAAGATCACGACGAAACGTCTCCCTCCCCTGGATTTTGGGCCTCCAGGGGGGGCCTTCGCGGGGCCCCTGGGGGTCCCACGTGGTGAGCAACAGAACTCCTGGCATCGGAGGCTTGGGCTCGTCGGCGCGCGCACGCGGGGGGGGGGTGGCGGGCACGGGGGGTGGCCGTCTGAGAGCGCGGGGAGCTTCAGCGAGGGCCTCCGCAGGGCCCTCGGGGGCCTCCGAGGAACCTGCTCGCGTCGGAGGCGACGATAGGGTCGAATAGCCGAGGGTGGAGCAAAACCTATATTCAGGTGCGCCGATGATCTAGGTCTTCGACAGCGAATGCGTGTTATGCCCGCCCCTGGGCTATTCGCCCCTGTCGTCGCCGCCGATCGAGGGCCTCCGGGGCTTTCCGCGAGAAGGCTCCCGCACAGTCCTCAGACCGCCGTCGTCCACGAGGGGGCGGCCCCCCCCCCCCCCCCCCCCCCTCGCGCGCGCCGCCAACCTTCGTGTGTCGGCCAATGCGGTCGGACCGAGGTCCAAGATCGAGGTCGGTTCGGGGAGAGTGCTGTGAGGTTTCGGTCGGGCCTGTCCCCCTATAGGAGGAATATTCAAACATCGTCAAACATTAGTCTGGGGACGGTGTCTTGACTATTTCGGAGTATTTGTGGAGTATTTTTCATTTTTCGTCAGCAACCCGCCTGTAGGAGGACATGCCCTACCCAACCGTAAGGTGTTCATGTTTGTTGGATGTTCCTGTGCATCCTGGGAGGGTACCCTCAGATGTTCTTTGTGTGCGTGGGCCGACGGAGGGTCTCATGCTCTTGAGGGATGTTCTTCTGGCCTTGGTCCGACTGCGCTGGCCACTACTCCCCCCCGACGTTCAGACATGGCGACCGATCTGCAGTTTTGGGGGTTGAGCAGGGGGGCCTGAAGATGGATCTCTGGTCTGGTAGACGATTGCCCCCCCCCCCCCCCCACCCCAGGCGGAGGCGGAGGCGGAGGCGGAGGAGGAGGCGGGGCGGGAGGAGGAGGAGGGAGGGGGGTGGAGGAGGAGGAGGAGGGAGGGAGGAGGAGGAGGAGGGTGGGAGAAGGAGGAGGAGGGGGAGAGGAGGCGGAGGCGGAGGCGAGGAGGAGGAGGAGGGAGGCGGAGGAGGAGGCGGGGGCGGAGGAGGAGGAGGAGGAGGAGGAGGAGGGGGGCCTCCCTCCGCGGAAGGTCCGCTGCGGCACTGCCTGCCCCCTCTGCCGCGCCGAGCAGGGCACCGACGAGGGTGTCGCGTCGCTCCAGGCCCTGGTCTGGGGCTTCGCCGCACCCGGCGGGGTCGTCGACTTCGGGCGGCTGCCCCAGGTGCCGAGGGCACGAGCATATACCCGCCGCTCGTTGAAGTACAGTCAGGCCGCACTGTAAGGCTATAAACGTAAACTTTTGGCGCTCAGCGCGGATTTCTTGGATCCGCGCCTGGGCCCCCCGGCGGCGCCTCCGGCGCCGCCGCCCCTGGCGCGCTTCGCGTGCCAGGGAGGAGGGTCCAGTGCGAATCCGACAATTCCGCGTGGAGCGCCAACAGCTTATGTTTATGTTTATGTTTTTTTTTTCTTCTTCTAAGTCAGGCCTCACTGTAAGGATGGGCAACCTTCCCAAGGGTACCCTTGCATCGTTGCCCCTTCGGGCCCATCCTCCGCGACTTTCGCTGGCCGGCCTCGTTCGAGAAAGCCTGACATGGGCCCCCAAGGCCCCTTGCATCCTTACCGCGCAGCCTTCTGGTGCGGGGTGGCTGTAGGCACTTCTGGGTTCCCAGCCTCCGATCTGCTTGAGGCGCTCCCCTGCTTCCGGAGGCGAGCGGCTGTCCCTCTTCCCTCGCCCTCAGGGGGCCGGCGGACACCAACTCTGCTCCCGGCGTCTTCCTTTATGTCGGGCGTGTCCCCCTACAGGTGGATTTTCGACGAAAAAATAAAAATACCCCCCAAATGTTCCCAAATGGTCAATACCCCCAAAATAGTCCCCAGACTATGTTTGGACTTTTTTTTAAACAAAATTCTCGTCGAAAATCCCCCTGTAGGGGGACAGGCCCGACTTAAGTCTTCCTGCTCCACGCCTCTGCTCGCCGGCGGGTCCGCGCCGCGGAGGCCCGCGCGGAGTCCCCCGGGAGCTGCGCCCCGGCCGCCCCGGCGGCGCGGCGCCCGGCGCGCGCAGAGGCCCAGGAGAGAGCCGCGCGGGCCATCGAGAGGGCGCGTCTGTGCCGCAGGGCTCTGGCCATCCCGTGGGCCGTTTCGTTTTCCGTTTTGATTCTGCCAGGGGAACGAAAAGTGGCATAACCATAACAACTCGGAGGTCCGCGCGAATTTCTCGGATCGGCGCTGGGGCCCCCCGGCGGCGCCTCTGGCGCCGCCCCTGCGGCGCTCCGCGCGCCAGGGAGGGGGCCCCAGCGCCGATCCGAGAAATCCGCGCGGACCTCCGAGTTTTGATGTTTGCGTCACTTTTTGTTCCCCGAGTTCTGCAGCCAGGGCGGAGCGAAGGCAACGCGAGGAGGAGCGGAGCAACGGACCGAAGGCGAAGCACACCGCTTTTGGGCTCGGCCCCGGTGCTCGGTGCAGTGCCTCCTCTTCCGAGGTGGCTCAGCTGGGGCTGCTGTCGTCCGCCTTCGAGTGCTGCGGCCAGCAGATCCTGGGCCTGAGCGCCGTGGTGGAGCCCGGAGGAGGAAAAGGGCACCGATGCCGTCCCCCTGCCGTCGTCTTCGCCGTTTGGGGCCTCGTGGGAGGCCTCGTCGCCGCGGCCGGATGCGCCTCTGGCCAGGACGCCCCCGGGGGAGATCCGGGGAGGAGCGGTACTGGTACGGCCTCGAGCTGCGAGCAGACAGTACCCCTCTCGGGTAGTCCCAGCTGGCCTCAACAGGCCCCCCAAGTCTGCACGAACGAAATGGGCACGGAAAGAATGGGTACAATGCCCAACAGCGGATCTGGTTCATTTTGAACAGGACGCGCTGTCCACGCCGCCGCGGCCTGTGTTCATTCGAGACAGAAGGCCGCCTGCCCAACAGCGGCCGCTGCTGGTTTGGGACAACATTTGTTGTTGGGCACTGTGCCCATTCTTTCCGTACCCATTTCGGGCGTCCAAACCAAGGTAGTCCCAGCTGGCCACAGCAGTCCCCCCGAGTAGTCCAGTCGGGCCTTCAGTCCGAGGCGGGAATTTATACATGACCACCGCCTGGATGATCAATTTCCGGGGTCCTCGGCCGGCGGCGGATATGGACAGATTCGGGCCCCCGAGGGCCTAAATATACGATCCAGGGTGTCGGGTGCCCACGTCCCCCCCCCCAGATGGGATGAGTCCCAGGGGTCCCACGTCCCCCCCCCAAGATCCTACTGGGGGGGGGGCGGCGGCGACGACGACGGCAACGACGACGGCGACGACGACAGAGGCGACGACGGCGACGACGACGGCGACGACGGCGGCGAAGACGACGGTGAAGACGACGACGACGACGACGGCGAAGACGACGGTGAAGACGACGACGACGACGACGACTGCGAAGACGACGACGACGACGGCGGCGACGACGACAGCGAAGACGACGATGACGGCGCTGCCTTTGCTGACGACTACGCCGGAGACACGCACGCATGCGCGCACGCGCACGCACGCACGAATGCACACACACACACACACGCACACACACACACACACTCAACCACCACGCAGCACACCATACCACACGCCAAGGGGGGGGGGGACACGCACGCACGTGCGCAAACCACCACACCACAGCACACCACCACACCACGCCACACCCACGGGGGGGCAGGGGGACACGCACGTACGCACGCACGCACGCACGCAAACCACCACACCACCACACTAGGGCACACCCACAGGGGGGTGGGGCGGGGGGACGCGCACGTACGCACGCACGCACGTGCGCAAACCACCACACCACATCACAGCACACCACAGGGGCGGCGGGGGCACCCATCATGGGGTCGGGTGGGGATGGACACCATGCCATCTGGTGGGGGGGGGGAGGGCAGACCCTGGACCATGTGTCCATATCCACCGCCCGCTGGGGCACCAGGACGTCGGTTCCCAGGCGGTGGATATGGAGAAATCACCGCCTCGCATTAAGACCCCAACCTTGGGGCGCGGAGCGCTCCAGGGGCGCCGCCTGAGGCGGCGCCAGGGTGTTGACACCGCTTCGGGCTATTCCCGCGGCGGAGGAGGAGGAGAAGGAGGAGGAGGAGGGGCCTGCCGAAGGCCAGCTGGGACTGCCTTGGGGGGCTGTCTTCGCGGAGCCCGAAGCCTTGCCTGCGGTCTCCCCCGCTCCCTGCCCTGCAGCTGGCAACTGCAGCCTGTGGGGAAGGCTGGCAGAGTAGAGCAACTTCGATCTTTCGGCATCTTCTTCTCTTCGGTTCTCCTCCTCCTCCTCGCCATTCTCATCCTCCTCGTTATTATCACCATGTTCATCCCCATCACCGCCACCCACCACCACCACCACCACCACTACAACCACCACCACCACCACAACCACCACCACCACCACCACTATTATCATCATCATCAGCAGCATCAGCAGCATCATCATCATCATCATCATCAGCCCTATCATCATCATCGTCACCATCATCATCATCATCATCCTCCTCACCATCTTCATCATCCATCATCATCATCATCCTCATCACCACCACCATCACCATGACCATCATCAGCATAATCACCAACACCACTATCATCATCATCATCATCATCACCATCATCATCATCATAACCAGCACCAGTATTATCATCACCCCCAACGTCATCCATCATCATCATCATCATCATCACTATCATCACCATCATCATCATCATCATCATCACTATTATCACTATCATCATCATCATCATCATCATCGTCGTCACCGTCATTATCATCATCCTCATCAACACCATCATTATCAGGACCTTTATACGTATCATCATCACCATCACCAGCACCATTACCATCACCATGACCGTCGCCATCATGATCATTACCGTCATCGTTGCCTTCACCATCATCACCATCATCACCACCATCATCACCACTATCATCGTCATTATCATCATCATCATCATCATCATTATTATTATTATTATTATTATTATTATTATTATTATGAGTATTATTATTATTATTATCATCATCATTATTATTATTCTTATTATAATTATTACTACTTTTTTTCTTCGTCACCATTGTCATCATCATCATCATCGTCATCATCATCATGACCATCAGCATCATTACCAACATCATCACCATCTCCACTATCACCACCATCATCACCACTTCCATCATCATCAGCACCACCACCCCCACCACCACCATCAGCATCATCATCATCATCACCATCATCATCCAAATTATTCACGCTTCGCGTTTCCACACCAGTTGTGGCGCGTTTAGTTGCTAATTAGGCCGCTTTCGTGACCCGTATCGCTCCTGACTCCGCTAGCGCCTTCGCTGGTGGACGCTACCGAAAAAAGTTTCCCCACCAGCGCCGTCGCTTTCACTGTTTCTTGGCTACCGGCGCGGCCCGCCGGAGCAGGCTCGGCGTTCGACTCGTTTCGCGCGCCTGCGGACCAAGTCCCCACCAGCTCATTCGGACACCCTGACTATGAGAGCTGACGGGACAACGGACGAAGAGACACGTCTAGTGAAAAAACGGGCAACCCGGGTGAGCAGAGAGATCTCTGGAGCAAGGGGGTGGCCTTGGAGGGCCTCTTCGGGCTATCCTTGGGGCCTACGTGTCGGTGAGGGAAGGAGGAGGAGGAGGAGGAGGTTGAGGAGGAGGAGGAGGCGGAGGAGGAGGATGAGCAGGAGGAGGAGGAGGGGGAGGAGGAGGAAGACTACGACGAAGACGACGACGACGACGAAGCGCTCACGACGACGACGACGACGAAGCGCCGACGCCGACGCCGACGACAACGCCGTACGGAAGACGACGACGATGACGACGACGACGAGGACGACGACGACGACTAAAAGACGGCGACGACGACGAAGACGGACGACGAACGACGAAGAGGAGGAAATTGAAAGGAACGACGAGGGCAAGGACGAGGACGAAGGATGAGGATGAGGAGGATGAGGAAGAGATAAGCTGGCGGGGGGAGGGTAAACGAGGGTAAGGAGGAGGAAGGAGGAGAGGAGGATGAGGAAGAGGAGGATAAGGACAACGAGGACGAGAACAGACCCTGAAATCGCCTCTTAGAAGGCCCTCTTTGGGGTTCTTGCGGGGAATCCTTGTGGTCTCGTGGGGCTATTTTGGCCCTCTTGGCTCTCTCGGGCCATCTGGAGCCCTGGAGGGCTGTATGGGGCCACCTGTAAGGCCATCGATCAAAAGGGGGGGGGGGTCACACTCAATTTCCCCTCCCCCCCCCCTCCCCCTCCCCTCCCCCCCCCCCCCTGGGGCCACCAAGATCACTTCATGGGGCGTTATTGAGACGCCCTTGGGCCGAACTTGGGCGCCTGTGGGGCCGTTTTGGGGGGCCCCGTGGGCGCCTCCCAGGGCTCTCTGGGGCCACCTGGGGGCAGCCTGGAGGCCTCACCTGGGCATCGGAAGCGAAAGGGCGAGACGGCACAAGTCATGTGTGACCCGTCGATGTTTGAAGGATTTCGGCCTCATGTGTGTGTGTGTGTGTGTGTGTGGATCTTGGGGGGGGGGGCGAGAGCATTTGGAGCCCTCGTGCGGCCCTCGTCGGGCCTCTTGGAGGTATGTCGGGAGCTACCTTGAACCATCTTCGGCTATTCTGCGCCGCTTTGGGGCCTGTGGTGGCATATCGGATGCCCGCTTGGAGCTTCCTGGGGCGCAGAGGACTCCTTGACACTTCGCGGACCCCCCACAAAACCTCAGGTAGGGGAGGGGGAGGGCTCTTGGACGGGGAAGGCAAGAAGCTGCTGGACCACCTTGGCCCAAAGGGCTGGCGGGATTCCTCCCCGGCCTCGCTACCGGGATTCTTTGGTCTCCCCCGAGGATCGGGCGGGTGGTGGTGGGGGTGACCTGCAGGAGGGGAAAAGAACAGGGCCCTCAATGGGGGTTCTTCCAGGCCCCACTTGGAGCCAGCAGGGGCCTTGAAGGGGCCCTCAAGTGCCCCTTGAGGGCCCTTTGCCTCATCCCCCCATGTGGGTCACCCCCCCATTCAGTCAACCCGCACCGTGGGGTGGTGGTGGTGGACAAGGGAAACAGGTCCCGAGCAGAGCAACACGCACCACGATCACGACGACGCCGACGACGACGACGACGACGACGACGGAGACGAGGCGCGCAGACGATCTGCACCGAAGCACGGATTCGGGAAAGGGCCCACCCTGCAGGTTCGGTTAAACAGCACATCGTTGAGCGGTGCTGCAGCCTGCCAAAGGTCGAACAACTGCCCAAGGTTGCCCTTGCTGGGCCGCTTTCGCTGGCCGCGCCCCGCTCGCAGAGTGCCGACATGGTCCTCCCGGGCCCCCTCGCCTCCTCAGACTGTGCGTCCTTTTTTTTTTCGTGTGGACCGCACCGGCCGCCCGAGAGGAGCACGTCAACTCCACGCTGCTCCACTGCGGCGTGGAGGTCTGCACGAAGCTCGGGCTGCTGCGGGAGCTCTACGCCGCCCCCGCGCCGTGGGGGGCCCGCTTCGAGGGGCCCCTGGTGCGCCTGCGGCTGCCCGGGGAGGCGGCCAGGGCGGTCGCCCTCGACGAGGATCGGTGCGTGATACCCGACCCCGAGACAAAGCCTCCGGGTCGGTTTTGGAGGTCGTCGCTCGGAGGAGGAAACAGGTACTCTGGGTTTCTTACTAAGCGTGGGGGGGTACCCCCCCGACGGGGGTCAACCTCGCCTCGTCGTCGCGCCGCGACGGGGGTCGGAGCGCCGTCGGCGCGCGGTGGCTGCCCGCGGCGGGGGTCGATGTGGGGCTGTCGGCGGGGTGACGCCCCCCCGACGCTTGTGACGAAACTCGGAGTATCCGTGCCGCTGCCCTTCGCCCACTTTCCACTTTATCAGCCTCCTGAGGGGCCCTCATCGCCACGGATGGTTTTGTCTCGAGCTTCTGGTCAGAACGCACCGCGGGGAGAGGTCCGGGGAGTGTCGGTACCAGTCGGTTCCCCCCCCAAACCCCTGGTCGGTTTCGGAGGTCGTCGCGGCGATCGTGGCGGCCACAAATCGGGACAAGGTTTTCGTCAAGGAGTGGCATGCAGGCGTGGCTCATGAGTAACAGTTTGGCGACCTAGAGTCGTCACATTATGTAGAACATGAGCAGTCCGCTTGTTTTAATTTGGGGCCCATTATCGAAGAAGAAACATCAGTATGAACATGATTTTTCGGAGCTCCGCGCGAATTTTATTGGATCGGCATTGGACCCTCTTGGCGGCGCCTCTGGCGCCGCCCCTGGCGCCGGAGGCGCGCCAGGGAGGGGGGCCAGCGCCGATCCAAGAAATTCGTGCGGGCCGGCAACAGTTCATGCTCATGCCGTGTTTCTCCACTCGGGAGCGAAAGAAGGATGTACACGTACATGAATCCACGTTGTTTTCGAAAGGATGCATTGCGCGAACGATCGCATCAAGAGGCTGGTCTCGCGGATTGGGGGCCCGTGTTCATGTGCGTCGCTGTGCGCGTACGTCTTTTGTGGGCCATCCCTGTCTATGCTTTGGTCAGGGGTTAGCTATCACGCAACCAGAGGTTCTGATGCAACTCCTGGGAGGTCAAATTCAGACTTTACCCTGGTCCGAATTCCGGTTTTTATCCTGCTTAATCCCGCCTAGTCTGGCTTAATCCCACTTAATACGGCTTAACCCCGTTTACTCCGCGGCCTAATCTGGCGTAGCAGCCCGCCAATGAGGCCTTATTGTCTTTCATTCTTCCGACAAAGACCACCCAGTAGTTGCATCCTAACAGAGGAGTCCCAGCTGGAGGTGTCGAGCTGGCGGGAGCAGGACCTGGGCGAGAAGCACGCATGCGCGTGCACCCGTTCTGGCCAGTGGCCCCCCCCTGCGCCCAGGATCGGTGCCCAATTCTCTCTCTG